CGGGCGCCAGGCCGGCTCCTGCCGGAGCCCTGCCTAGAGTTTTTTTTGCACTCTACTATTAGTATAGTACATATCGGATTTTTAACTATATTTCACTTCAAATAGAGCATTCTTTTATTTGATGTACTTTTTTATTGGAATTAATAGATCAAGTTCCATATTATCAATAGTTAGCCTCATTTATTATGTTCTTGTTCCAGTGGATATTGTCACCATTAGGTCATTTTAGGGGTATAGGAAATTCGCGGCTACTATAAGTGCTACACAAACTGCATAGTCTCTCATATAAATTCATAATTAATTATAGTTTTATCACAAAATATCTGATTCATATTTCAAAATTAGAGTACACACTAGCACTCAATTCATCTAATTCTGTAACTTTATCCATATTATTAATATAATCACTTCTTGTACCATTTTTAAAATCATTTGATGCTTTTGTAATATTTGCTAATAAAATTGCTAATTTAACTTTAATTTCATTTGGTGATTCTTGTGATGGATCTCTTGATGATAAAGTTAATGCTATATTATTTAATAATGTTGTAATACCAACATTGATTAATGAACTTAATACAATAAGACTTGATGATGATTGAACATAATTTTTAGTTTCATCAATTAATGTACGTAATATAGTATTATCTTTTGATAAAGTTTCAATGTTTTCTTCATCTAATGTTTGTTGAACAACAAAAGTTTCTAAATTTTCTGGTGGTAATAAAACAGAACTTATAAAATCTAATTCATTATTACTATTATTGGTATTTGGTGATTCAATAATTTGTTGAGTTTTACTTAATAATATAGCAAAATCATCTAATGATAATTCAGCTCTTGGATTAATTTCTTCAAATACTTCATCAACAGCAGATTTAACACGTTCTCTAATTTGAATCCAACCACGATTTAATAACCACCAACTAAATGATAAATAAGCTTGTTCATTAACATAAAATAAACTTTCATTATTTGTATTATCAACTAAATCAATTCTTTCATTAAACCCATGTTTTGTTGCTGCAACTTTTAATGCATCTTCTAAATATTCTCTTCTTGCTAAAATATTCAATTGTAATCTTGTAAATAAAATTAATAAAGCATTTGAATATAATAAAGTTAAAAATCTTGTTAAACTTTGACTTTTCAAATCACTCCATAATTCATTTTTAGTTTTCTTCTCACTAGTTTCACCATCAACAACTTGATGTTGTTGTTGTTCAGTTGTTGTACTTGAATTATCATCACCAATAGTACTAGCACCAATTCCACTACCTCCAAGACCCTTTTTATCTAATCTTCTAGCTTGTAAAGCTTTAGTAATCTCTTCCACAGGTAAACTATCAAAAATAGGAGAGGCTAAAACAGGAACCAAAGCATATATGGTATATAAAGAATCTTTTTGAGTTTGTTCAAATCTTCTACGAATTTGTTCCCTTGAAAATCTTTCTTCAGCTAATTTTAATTGATAATCAATAAATTTTTGTTTTAAAAATCCAATACCAAAATATATTATTGCAATGATACTTGAACTAATGATTACTTTCTTTCTATTTCGACGGAAAAATGATGATAAAGTTGAAAATATTGTCATGTTTTGAATATTAGGGTGGGGCAAGAAGAGCAGCTATTAATTTAATGAGAAATTAATGTTTAGTTTGATTGATGATAATTGACCTGCAATATTTGATCCCAAAAAGTGATCTGAATTATAAACTTTAAGGATTATTTGAAAGCTTCAGACAATTAACTAATCCAATTGTACTCTTCCTTCAAAATGTTGTTGATATCTGTCTATCAATTCTCATTTTCAATAAGAGTCAATAATATTCGCGATCAGCAAAATCTTGATTAAATAAGCAGGAAATATAATTAACCCGGAGTGATGGGAAACTATACTATAAATTAAACTACAATTATTGAATAATTTTATCTATTTTAAGATGTTATATGATTGAAATTATACCATTGAATCAGGTGGTGGCATTCATTTTGTTGATTTTTTTTTATCCTTTTTTGGTTTCTTAACTTTATCATTATTACCAATTTTTTTATTTTGTTTATTCCTTATTTTATCATTATTATCTTTATTATTTTTTTCATCAGAATCATTATCAGATTGTTGAAATTTTGTATGTTTACCTTGGAATGAAGCTGAACTAATTGCAGGTTCTGGAGTTCCTGTTATCACTGTTGAATTACCTGTACCATTATTTAAAGCAGCTTCAATGAAACGTTTAGCAGCTGCAGTATCAACTTTATTTTCTATGGGTATGTTAGTATGATTTATTCATTTATGAGAGTTGATATGATTATACGTACCTTTCTTTGGTTCTTTAGCTTCTTTAGCTCTATTCATATAAGATTTAACTCTTGCAAGATCTTTTGAAATTGGATGATTATTTGTATCAATACCTTTTGATTTTAAATAAGCTATAATGTATGTTAATATATAATTCAGATTGAAACTGGGTGTATTATAACTTACCAAATGATAAAGATGTCAGTATATAAGCATAACCATTTGCAATTTTAATTCTTTCATGTTCATCAGAAGTTTCATTAATACGATCTTCAAATGATTTAGCACTTAATTCTTTGATAGCTGGTTCTAAATCATCAAGAGAAGCATCAAGTGCAGTGATGTATTGCTTTATAAGTTCTTCGTTTTCCATTGTTATAATTTATGTGAAATAATTTTTGATGGATTGAGTATCAAATAATGTTTTATACTAGTTTAAACGGTTTCTATTTTACCAGCTTATAATTTTTTTTCTAATTTAATTAGAAATCGCGCAAAATTACCGATTTTGGTTTTTTCGTCTTATTAGAATTCGCAATTACTATAAATGGGAATTGCGTTTTTGTGTGCAAGAAAAAACGTAAAATCTAAAAAAAAATAAACAGTGAACATTTTTAAGTTTCAGGCTTTCAGCGCGTTTTACTGTTTGTTAAATAAGAACTCAACAATTCAAAGCTTAGTTTTACCAGTTTTTGGTTACGGTGGGCAGAGAAACTAGTGAAGTACATAGGGAATATGGAGGCTATTAAAAGTGCTATATTCTACTCTACCATATCCCAATCCTGCTTACCATGGTCAACTTTGTTCTCGTAGAGCCATCAAATCTTTAACATCTGAAAATTACGAGATGATCGCGCAAAATTAACCCTGCATCATTGAAAGCTTAAACAAGTTGAGTATACTTTGATCGTGTGTTCATGATTATTGAAATGCCATGTGCTAGGTATCCAATAGCTACTCTTACCATTTACTATGGTTTGATATATATATATTATCATCCTAATGGTCTACAAGTGTTGTAATGAGAGTTGAACAGATCGTTGATTTTCTGTTGCGCGACAAAATCTGAAAGCAACTGATGTACCTGAGTTCCAACATTCAAGCCACTAAACTTTGTATAGCTGATTAACTAAAACAAGATCTAGCACATATATAATGAAAAGATATAGAGAATTATTTGACTACCATTCGTTTAATTCCAATATATCAGTAGAACTAGCTCCTCACATCAAGAGTAAACTCACTTGTAATTAAGCCCTTCTCCCATTCTGCACAAATTCCACGGGTAAATAGCCAATGTGTAAATTTATATGTTGGCTTTAAAATGCGTTGAAACTGGAAACAATCAATTGAAGAAACAAAGAGAAACAATCAGATTGAAACAGTGATATTTACAAACTGAAGTCAGTAATCGAGGTAAGTTGAACATCTATACACTTTTCTCTATCTGTGTCTTAAGAATCCAAAGTTGTCCTGACTTAGCTGTGCACAATTTCCTGTCCAGTTGGTTCCTGCTCCAGTGCTTTATCGATCGATTCAACATTGTCAGATTCTTTGCAATTCGTACCCAATTTTAACCCTGAAAACTCGAGAATAACACTAACAAACACACAGAGTACAACTACATCAACTATTCAATCCCATAATCACTCAAATCATAAGATAATCAGGATTAAAACAACCCAGATATAATCCCATATTTTCGCTTATCCAGTTGTCAATTACACGAAATTTCCGAATCCGATTTGCAGAAAGCTTTTTTTTTCTTTTTCCCTAAACACTTTGCATTATTCTTGTGTTTCCAGCTTCAACGTCAACAATATCAACAATTTAACAAAGAAACTTAGGTAATAGCCTTATTCAAAACAATAAAAAGCAGATCTGATATCATAAGTGTGAATACTAGTAATAAGTGAACATAATCTTGTCTGGCAAAAATGTCTATTTCTGAAACAAAAGATGAAATATCACTTCAAAAGAAGAGGAAATTATCATCTATAAATATGGATGATTCTTTAAATTCTCAAGATGTTGATCAAATATTAGAGAATTTAGATGAATTGAATGAAATCAATGATATTGAATCAATACAAAAAAAATTACAAGGTGATTATAAAAATTTAGCAAAAGAATTTGGAAATTCAAGATTATCAAGAGTGGAAACTTTTTTGAATAATATAGAAAAATTACAACTTCAATTGAAAAAACAAAATGATGATTATGAAGAATTCGTCTTGAATAATTTACCTTTATTAGATCAAGAAACAAGCTCAGAATCTATAAGTACAGCTGAATCAAAATTAAATAAACGCAGGAAAAATGCTTCACAATCTGAATTAATTAAAAGAGCTACATCTCCACCACCTGGAACTCCAATATCACCTCCATTAGAAAATATACCCATATTTACTGAATCTTTTGAAAAAATATTGGATCCTTATAGATCTAAATTAAAAATTTTAAAATCAAAATATGATTATGAATCTGATTTAATTGAAAATTCAACAAGATCAAACGTTGAATTAGTTTGGAGACAAAGTATAAAAGATCGTATGGATTTGAAAAAATCAATAAGATCATCAACAGCTCAAGACCTGATTCGCCTAGAAAATGATTATTATAATGATGATAAATTATCTAAATTAAGTCATTTAGATAAAAGATTTAAAATTTCAACTAAAAAAGTTGGTGAAAGGAAAAATTCAAGATATGCATCAAATGAACAAATTAAAAAAGTTGATCAAAGAGTTAGAAAATTTAATACATTTTTCAGTACTGATAAAAAACCAATTTTTGAAGCTTTTGAAAATGAAATTGAATATGATTTAGATTTAATTAAAAATAAAATTCAAATCCCAATAAAGTTAGAAAAAATTGAAGCTAATTATTTATATCAAGAACAACCTTTGAAGAAAGAATCTATTGGTCCAACTACAATGACTGATTTAGTTAATAATGAAATTGAAGAAAGAGGTATATCTGGTATAAATTTCCAATTTCCAAATGGTCAACAACAACATCAACAACATCAAGTTCCACAAGATTCTCGATCTCAAAATAATACACCTAATACTGGATTCACTCATATCCAACCAAAAGGTGAATTACCAATGCGTCATCAAGCTAATCAAACCATTTATGTTGGTTATCCAAATTTACCCCCACAACAACAACAATCATCATCATCATCACCAGGTCTTCAATCTCAACAACAACCACAACAACAACAACAACAACAATCTCAATCCCAAATACAAACACCTCAATCACAACAACAATATATTCCTCAACAACAACAGCAACAACCACAACAAGGATTATATCAACATCCATCGCATCAAGGCTATATACAACAACAAACACAGCAGCAGCAGCAGCAGCAAGCAGCTTATGGTCAACCTCAACAACCTCAACAACCATCACCTTATTTGCAACAAACTCAATATCAATATCAACAAACTTTACCATCAGGTTATTATAATCCACAACAAGTACCACAGACTACTTATTATGCTAGTAATGTACCACAATATGGTCAATATCCTGTTTATACAACAACTGCATCATATCCACAAGTTCAACAACAACCACAATGATTATTAATTTGTTAGTATTAAAGAAATTTAAGAAAGAATTTAAACATCGAAGGAGTTCTATTATAGTATATTATATTTGTATTATATAACTGGATTGAGTATAAATGAATAATGTTAATTTTTGCCATTGATTGTAGATCTATTATATACATATTCGTTACTTGATTCACCTAACAAAATGTAGAATAAAAGCCTCTCTCATCATGAAGTTGTTGGTCTTCAAAGTGTTGATATATAGTTAATAAATGATAGTATTCGGACTCCCGTGCTCATAACGCTTTTCCTCGCTCGGGATTTAAACAACATCATAAAAATACTCAAATTGCCACAAGATATTGAGATCATTACAAGAGAAGAATTTGGAATTCACTTAGTTTATGAGAGACATTACTCAATCAGTATAAATTGATCATATAATCTTAATTGAATTACATAACATATAGAAGACACAAGAAAACAAAGAAAAAATACTATATTTATAATACATAAAGTCAAATCGCTAAATATCATAACCCATAATGTCTGAACAAGTTGATACGTTCTTAGCAATCACAGGTTCTTCAGATGCCCAAGCTGCAGAAACATTCCTAGAGATGGGTGGTGGTGATTTAGAAGCTGCAATTGCATTATTTTTCGAACATGGTCCTTCAATTGCACAACAATCAGGTGGCGGCGTTGCTTCTTCTTCTTCAAATAATTTCAATAGTGCTAATGATGAAGATGATGCTGCTTTAGCTGAAAGATTACAAAATGAAGCATACCAGAATCAACAACAAAATGAACCAAGAGCACCAGATGCTGCGGTTCATGAAAGATTAGTTGGTGGTGATGATCAATTTGGTGTTTTTCCAGGTACTTTTGGTGGGATTGGTGGTTCATTTAATGGATTATTAAATCAACAAAGATCTTCAACACCAAATAACTTCTTTGGTGGTGGAAGACCAGGGATTTTCAATCAAAGAGATGATTTAGATTCAGATGAAGATGATAGAGTTGTTGAAGTTGATAGTGATGGTGAAGAAATTTCCACTGGGTTAAATGAAACTCAAAGAAGGTTAGCAAGAATATTTCGTCCACCTTTTGATTTGATTGAAAAAATAGATTTAAATATGGCTAAACAAAAAGGTAGAGCTGAAAAAAGATGGTTAATGGTTAATATTCAAAATAATGGTGAATTTCAATGTCAAGTTTTAAATAGAGATTTTTGGTCAACTACAAGTATAAAAAACATTGTTAAAGAAAATTTCATTTTTTTACAATATCAACATGATTCATCAAGTGGACAAGATTATTCAAATTTTTATCATTTCCAAGATTATCCACATATTGCAATTTTAGATCCACTTACAGGTGAAAGATTGAAAATGTGGTCTGAAGTACCATCAGTTAATAGTTGGATCCAGGAAGTTAAAGAATTTTTGGATCAATTTTCATTAGATCCAGGTCATATAAATCCAACTGTGGAACATAAAAAGAAAGTTGATCCTTCAACTTTAACTGAAGAACAACAAATGGAATTAGCAATTCAACAATCTTTAGGAAGTAAAAATCCAGATGATAAAGATGATGTTAAGATCTTAAACAGTGGTGATCAATCAGATCCGATAGAATTAGATGATGACGAGGAAGATGAACAAAAACCAAAAGAATTATCAGATGAAGATAAATTCAAACAAATAGAGGCAATTGATCATCCAGAACCTGAAAATAATCCAACAACAACAACTCGTGTTCAAATTCGTCTTGGTGATGGTTCACGTCGTGTTCGTAGATTTAATACAGATGATAAAGTTAAAGTAATATATGAAGTTTTAAAAGCAACAGTGGATCAAGTTAAAGAAGGTCAATTGTTTACTTTAACAAGTCAAAGGGAAAATTTATTTAATAAATTAGATGAAACAATTAATGATGCTGGATTGAAAAATGCTTCAATTTTATTAGAATTAGTGGATGATCAAGCTGAATAATAATATATAAAGATGTTGAAATGAATCCCAACCACTTTTGGATAATATTAAGTTATTGTAGTCGAATACATTACGCATATTATTAAATCTCATAATACCTTTTTTTGAATTGTACATTAATATATAATAATCACTACTCTACGTCATTCTCTAATTTTGTGGCATCTTGTTCTTCAACATTTTCCTCGTTTTCTTTCTCTTCTGCGGTTTCATTAGCTTTCAATTCATCCTTTGTAACTTGCTCTTTTGCTTGATCTTCTGATTTAAACTCCTCTTGACTAACAACAGGTGTTTCAGTCCCACCGATTCCATTTTCTTTATCAATGCTCTTTTTTTCTGAAATCAATGTTTGTAATTCAGATTCAATCTCTGGATCTTCTAAATATTGATTGAAAATATCTAAAATTTTCAAAAAAATCTCATTATCTGCTTTCTTTAATTTATAAGAGTGAATATAAACTTTGGAAATTGTACCCAAAATATCACGTTTTGGAACATCTTCATTTAATAATGGAATTAAACCATAATCAAAAATACCACCTGCAGTGACTTGATCAGTTAATTCAATTTTCAAGACAGTATCTTCTAAAGAACTTAAAGCATATGATCTAATTTGATGACATGGATTCACACATTGATGTGCTAATGCTTGAATCAACGCATATGTTTCCTCCTTGGAAAGAGAATCTTTAATGTCAATCAGAAGTGCTGTTAAACTTATAGATCTTAATGACAATTGAACAATCTCCTGATATGGATTTTCCTTATCAACAACATGACCACTTTTAACTAAACTATCATATTCGGATTCCCATTGACCACCAATTGCACCAACTGAAGAAATTTCATCTAACAGTCCAAGTAACCACATGAAGTTAACACTTGTAATGGATTTTGGTGATGATTTCAATAAACCTTCAATAAATATAAAAACTGCATTTGAATATTGAGATAATGAAGCAATGTTTCTAAGCACTTTCCAGAAGTTTTCGTAAGTCAAAACAGAATCACTGTGTGATGATCCTGAATGTGCTAATGTAAACAAAGGTTGTAATATTTGTGCTGATTTCTTTTCCAAAAGTGTTCTATCGACAGTTGTGATTTGGTCGATTGTGTTATGAATTGGTTTGGTATCAGAGCTTGTGTACCCAGAGAAAAGAATCAACTTATATGTCAATAACCTCAAACGCATTGATTGATTCAATCTTTTATTTTCTTTATTAGCTTCAACTTTTTCAATGTAGCTAATCAATTTAGAAATATCTTGTGAGCTTGAATTTGATTCTAATGTAAGCACAAGTGCACTTTCTAAATGGAAAAACACATCTGGCTCAAACGAATTTTCATTTTCTGGAGTATGCTCTTGTGGTAACGCGGCAATAATAGAGTGAAGAATGCTAAATTCATTACTAGAAGTGATATTTGGATTCTCAAATAATTTATCAACCCCACATGATTTGATACAGTCTAATGTGGATAATGTGTTTTCAACTTGTTCATCTGTTGGTTCGTCATCTCCCTTCAAATATGATGCAAAAGTTGAGAATAAACCCTTCGTAACAGATGATCTAGTTAATGAAACTTCAGGCCTTATTTTTGGTAACTTAGCAAGTTTATACTTGGATTGGAATTCAGGGAATAAGTCAGGTTCAATCAACCCATTTTGGTACAATGTTGAGATGATTTTGAAGACACTTTCTATACCAGCTCCAAGTTTCTGATAATCTCTCCCTAACACTCTGAACAAAACCACTGTTGAGATTTGAGCCTTAAAGTCTTTACCAAAAGCAACAGATGTTTCACTGACAGTAACAGATTCACCACCTTCAACTTTAATTCTTGTAGTTTTAATTCTTGATGATGTATCAAGTGGTTGAGCTGGTTCAGTCAAGCTAGTTAGCTCTGCTAGTTTCAAAACTAATCTATCCAAGTAAGCATTTAAATCATAGAATGAAGAAATTTGAGCTAATTTATCAACAGTGGTCATCATTTTTGTAATAATTTGGTCATCAACTGCAATTTCAAAAATTTTGAAAACTGTATCACTAATAGAATCAAAAACAGATTGGAATAGTGCTTCATTGAATTTGGCAATCTCGTTAACATTGAATTGCTCCACTGCAAAAAACTCATCAGTAACTGAGATATTCGCAGCAATTAAATTGTTCCAGGAGTCATCAAACCATTGTGATGAGCCATGATGCTCTTCTGGCATAACAATTTCTTTATCATGAATTGATTGATATATTTTCTCCAAATACCAAGCAGGGAAATCACCTTTATTATACACACCACGTAAATTCTTTTTATAATCTTCAAGAGTCATATGCGCTTTGATGTTTGGGTTGTGTAAATCAGTATTCAACATAATCACTGAGAAACTCAAAACAAAAACAGCATCTTCATCAGGCTCAACTGGTTCTTGGATTTCATCTGAAACAACATCTATAACTTCCAATGAGGCTTTTGATGTTTCGATATTATCTTCTGATTGTTTCTCTTCTTTCGTGAAATCCCCATTCACATCATTATCTTCTTCTTTAGCACCCTCATTTACAGCAGAGCTGAATTGCCCATAGTTTTGACACTCAACATATCTACCTGCAAAATTTTCCACAATTCTTTCAATTTGTTGTGCTTCACCTGGAAGTCTGAAGGTTTTCAAAATTATTCTCAAAGCTTCATCTACTCTTAAACCTTTGAAGTCAAATAAGGAATAGAAATGCTTTAGTACATCAACATTATCACGTTTAGCAAGAAATTCCCCCAAAACCTTCTTATCCAATCTACTTGATTTCTCATAGAAAAATGTCGCAACCTCATCCAAATCAGTAGCTGACTTGATGAATCCTTTATCTTCTAAAGCCTTAAGACCATCTTTTGGTTTCTTGTTGAAAATCGAAGTAGCACCAATAAATTCTTTCTTCTTTTGTTTCTTTAGAAATAATTCATGTGGTTCTTTTAAATCATCTCTATCAGTAATCTTGATATGCTCATAGAGTTTATTAACAAATGATACAATACCCTCCAAGCAGATCGGTGGAACATTCTCTGTTGTGAATAATGCACTTTCTGGTAAAGATAGTTGTGATAGAAAGCTAATAAAACTCACTGTCAAATCATTTCTATGAAAATTACAGTCGTAATTGATGAATAAATTAATAAAAAATGATGGAGATCTAGTCCAGAGAATTGAAATTTCTTCCACTAAGAGCTCTTTAGCTGAAAGAGACTTTTGATTAAGCTCAACCGGGGTGGACTTACCACTTGCTGCTGGTTTCTTCTTGGTTTCATCTTGTGGTAATGTAGCTTTAAAAATTGTAATCAATGTTAGCTCAATTTGTGGTTGTAAATGATCACCTAGAGTGAGAGCTAATGTGGTAAAGAGCTGTAAAGCTGCTTGAAGAGTTGGTAAAGAGTTGACGTTTTGAATAATATTCAATGTGTGCTTGAAGACCGGATCAGCAACCAAGTGCAACAAGCTTGGAAATGATGAGAATCTATCCCCAGTCATTTCAACAGCTGTGGATATTAATGAAAAAGCAAAAACTTTCGTTGATTCTGTATGTTTGAATTGATTCTCAGGTGCAATCATTGAAATCAAAATACCTAAAAATTGTTTCACAGCAGTAAGACCAAATGGTTTATTTCCTTGGTTTGTAACTTCAAATGACTTTTTAGATAAACCAACATCATCATTCGTACCTATGGACTCAACCAATTGGTTTTTTGTGTAATCTTGTGTCTCCTCTACAACATGATGATGTTGCTCTGGTTCGATAGCATCTAATCTTCCAAAAATTTTGACTGTAACACTGTACATTGATAATTCTGCAGCTTTTCTCAATACTTCACTTCTTCTTTTGTTACATGCTAACGATAATGAAGTCTGCACAACCTCATATATAACTTCATCGGATAGTAAATCCCCAAGCTCTGAATTGATTATGGTCTCAAGCAAATTAAGAACTTTTAATAACACGGCGTCATCAGACGACTGTTCAGAAGCTTCAAAACGACAATGTGTGAGGGAACTGATAATATGTGTTAATGTGAATAGAAGATTCTTGGATTCTGATGAAATGATGTTATAACTCAAGAATTTCGATAATGAATCCAACGCTAGTGATGTGATTGCACCAGTTGTTGAACTTGACTTTATCACCAACAAGAAAGGTTGAAGTAATGTCAATGAGTCAATTTCTTGCAAGTCCTGGGCACTGTTTAACATAAATCTCAATTGTATAAATCCAGATAATAAAGGATCATTTATAGAATTGTTTGTTGGTCCATTGGTATTTGAACCGAGACCAAATCTAGCAGTTTCATTATCTTCACTGAACAGCTCACTTCCTCCATTTCCTAAAATGGCGGCAACCCCTGATTGGGAATACTTGGATGTCTTTCTCATGGATGATGATATCAGTAAACATTCTTTGATGACAACTGTGACTGGATCAATAGCTATGTGAGCATTTGTTTTGAGGACACTTGTGGGTTGATCTGTTGAGGGTGGCATTATTGATGGTCAAAATTGTGTATCCAAAAGCAACAATTATTAAATCAAAACCAATGGAGGAATTTAATTGTACACACAAAGTTTTGCCTCTGAACAAGATCAGGTTGGTAGTTGAAATATAGTTGTTGTTCACCTATAATTTGTGTTTTCGTTGAAA